TCAATCATTTTTATGCTGAACAAGTTTAAAAGGCATGTAGAAGTTCCAATTGTAATTCCCAAAGGCAATTTTGATCCTTTGCATACTTTTTCTCCTTTGTTGATATTTTAAATAAATATTTATAATGCATAATTATAAATAATTTGATTTATTTTAGATTTTTGGTCAAAAGTATTCAGTTTTTGCAAAATTATTTGAAAAAAAAATGTTTGAAAATTATTCTAAAAGTAAATTTTTAATCATAGATTTTTTTTCTACAAGAAAATTATAAATAAATACAAAATAAAAATATTGATAATGTATAATTTATTAATTCAAATTTTTTTGTCAAAACTTTTCTATTTTTTGCAAGAATTATAGAAAGAAAACATTTTAAAATTATTTTCAAAGTAAAATTTTATTTCTAGATTTTTTTTCTACATGAAAAGTTAAAATAAATATTTAAATTGATTTTAATATTTGATTGAGACAATTAAGCTTCCCTCAAAAAAACGACTAGTGATTTTCCCAAGGATTTTCCCCTTGGATTGACTATAAATGTGAATATGAAGTAAATAGGGTTTTTGCATATACTGCAACCGAAACCATCGATCGATTGATTGTAAATTGTTTGTCTGCAACACTCAAAAATCTCATTAGACTTTGACTTGAAATTTTTCTTGTGCAACAACAGCCGCAACCCAATTCAATCACTGACAAGTGGAGAAAAGCTCTAATTTCTTCACCTTCAATTAAGCCGCAAAATACACTGCGCTTAAATGAATTTGCAACCTTGATTTAATTAAAACTTGTGCAGAACCTGATACATACATAACCTCTGCCGTGGATGGAATACAATAGATGTTTCGTGGCTATAAATGAGATTATTTCTCGGTCTCTTAACTTTTCTCTATAGAATTTTGTCAATTTATATATATATATTTTTCGGGCCGTCTGGATTTGTAACAAAAGGCACAATTGTGAGAGTGTTGGCGAATTTTTCCGTGTGCAAAGTACAATATAGAGGAAATGGATGTACATATGTCTGTGTATGGTGGAAAAATTGGCTGGGGATTTTATTGAAATGCATTTGTAGCACGAAATCGTAAAATATCGAATAAATATTGAAAGCTGTGTTATTTTCAAAAGTGAGGAAGAGCGAGAGAGTGTCTCGTGGAAGCATTTAAAATTACTGTGAAGCTCTCAATAGAGAGCTTTCGCGATTTATGTATCAATGTGTAATGCGCATTATCAGTAAATCAGCAGCCAATATCCCTGTGTGAAGTATCCCTGGAGTGTGCAGAGAGAGGAATCCAATTCCGGGGAATCTGGTAAAAGTTACAGAAGTCAAACAAGTTGTAGGAAATGTCGGGCAAATGACTTTGGGTTCAAGTGTGGGAACACTGTCTAAACATTGAGTGATTTCTTGGGGTGGCTTGCGTCTCAAAATACACCCCCGAGGGGGGAAAATATCAAATCGGAAGTCAACTATTTAATTTTAGACATGGACTCGCTCTCCTTGGCGAGTATGCGAAGTGCCAACATTGCGCTTAATTGGATGGAGCCTTCGAGTAATTGATATGGGCACAATTAGGAGTTAAGCATGACCTCTTCAATTAAATGCAACATTCCTGAAGAAGACACTTCGTGAGTTGGCCAAATTCATTTGCTAAAAACATCCGAAGCACACCTCGGCGGAGGAAATTAGCACCTCCTGAACTCGTGGCACGAAAGCCCCGCCAAAAGCCTGCATCTCTTGTCACCTGCAAGCCACAAATCCCAACCATTGCCATTTTTGTTGCTCACGAGAATATTGAAGAACGTGCCCCAGTGTGAAATGGGCCACAAAAAGGATATCTTGTCCTGTTTGATATGCCACTGACGATTCCTATTTCGCTCTCTTGGCACCCCGCCAATTTGTTCATACAGTTTGCAGCTGAAGAACTGCAACTGCATATCGACCAACGCCTAAATTCCCATGACGCGCCCCTCTGATGGCCTCGCCATGTTCATCCCGGGACGCCCCATGTTTCTGCTCACCCACTTACAATTATCACCGACAAGATTTGTTAACAGTTTGCCAGGTTATTCAATAAATAAACCATACGATGTCCGTCTTGCGATCCGCACACCGCAGGACGAAACAAGGGAGAAAAACAATTAAAACAGAAGCACAGCAATGTTTTCAGAATTGCCATTACAAATATTGGAGTCGAAAAGTTTTATTGCCACAGCCAAAGTGAGAACGCTGCCCTCAGGACGCTCCAAGGAGCAGAAAATATGTCCTAAATCTGTACACCACTTCGTGACACTTCGGACAGTTTCTCTGCAGAATCTTTAACACTTCAGACACTTTCGAACGTTTTTGAAGGCATTTTCTGACTCTCTTTTCTAGTTCTGACTTTGGAGAATACTTAGAGAAATTCTGGGCAAATTGTGAGGTTATGAAACCATTTTAATAAATCTTTTTGGGCTAATTTTTATCCTTTCAAATCCAAAAATGAGAAAATATTGCGAATATCTCAATATTTTTCTTGATAATGATATAAATTTTCCACTTTTAAGCACAAACCGCGAAAAAGACTTATCAAAGAAACAGTCTTCTAAGCTATAATGTCATTTTTGAGGTTATGATCGACTTTAAAGCTCGTTTCTACTACTTTAGTTCAACCAATTTGTTGGTTTTTCAATACAAATGCTCAATTGTGCCAAGAAAATAAGATATATTCTCACTTTCAATACAAATTTGATGATTTTAAGCGTTATTTAAACACCAGAATCTATCTTAAACCAATCATATAACCTAAAAAAGTAATAAAAACTGAATTTTATAACCAAAATAAATTAGAAAATGCTTCTATTCGTTGAAATAGAAGCTTTTGCACTGCAATTATTTGAAGTTTTTAACACTTCCTGTTCTTAACACTTCTCATAAAAGCTGTACACCACGTCCGACCGTAAAATCTGCCCCTTGAGACGCTCTCCAGAGGACATAGTTCCATTTCTCCAACTCACGAAGCTATTCCTTTGAGCCAAGAGTCACTGCAGAGATGAGAGTCTGTAAAATGTTTTACGTCCATCGAGTCGCATTTACATTTTATTTTCCGCAATATAACTCACAAACCCCTCATTCCGAACGATTACTGCGATGCAAATATATTAAACTGGAAATTTGTGGAGTCTCTTGCTTGCAGTCCACTTGACGAGCGCAGAATGGAAAGTTTTTTTGAATAATTTGCAGCATAAATTGTGTTGTCATGCTAAATTTGCTGCACATTTCACTTTAAATCCCCAAAACAAGACATCTATTTGATTCTATCCACGCTTAAAGTCCTCCAAATGTGTCCTTCCACACACCATCTGCGAGTGGTTCAATAAGAAGTATAGTTGTACGAAATAATACATAAATAGTTCCACGCTTTGGCCACGACTGGGAGTTCACAGCTTTTCTTACGAAAACTTCTTGTGCATCTTGTGCAAAATGCGCGAAGAATCTCATTTTGCCTCTCTTATGCGGAAGAAAATTCATTTGCAAATGGAGAAATTAATTGCTGACTTCCTGATTTCGGCCAAATTACTTTTTAATGCTGACGCAGGAAAATTTCCCCCTCGATTGGATGGTAAATTGATTTTAAATTGTTATGAATATTGGCGGTGGAATTATGTGCGGAGCCCTTTTTTGATGGGCTCCTTCGGCGAGAGGTGTTGATTGACTTGACGACGCGTTGGCCTACATCTCCAGTTGGCACATTAATAGCCGACTTCTCAACTTATAGTGCTCTCAATTTGCCAAAGACGGAGAGTGAGATGGAAGACACCCTCGATCTGGCATCCATCCAATCAATTTTCAATGTTCCACAAATTTATTTACATGCTGTTTCATTTAATAAGGACTGAACTCACCGAAAGCCAAAATATTTTCCATCGGATGAAAGATTAATTGAATGTTTTTTTTACACACAGTTTTGGCTTAAGTGAGAAAAATCCCTCTAGCGTGGAGTTTTTTTCATTTGATTGGTACAAAAATTGGAGTTGATTGACGATTTGGGGGAAAAAGAGCGAAACACTCCATGAATCAGCATATTGATCAATATGAGAGTCAGTGAAAATTTATGCAGCTGGACTGGAATGAATTTTGATCCATGCTCAATTCACCTCTGCAATTCTGTCACACACCGCATAAATCAATAAAGTGCTGAGGATTTATTTTGCACGCCACACGTTAAATGCCGCTTAACACCCACAAGTCAGTTAATTTGAGATTAAATGCTCCTCCTCGCGGCTGAGAGTGTCGTCTTGACTATCGCAAGAAAGGCGAAACACATGAAATGTACAAACACCAGAGCCAATGCACAAAATAATCCACTCTAAATTCATATGGCAATTTATACATGAAGCAATTTTCTTATTCCCGTATTTACTTTAATTTTCTTCTTCCAACTGCCACAATCATTATGTCGCAGTGAAAATTGCCGGGGCGCAAGAGAGCGACAGTGTGGTTTTCATGACTTCGCAAAATTAAATGTAATAATCAATAGGGGTAATATAAATATTCATGAAAAGTCGTGTTCAATATTTGGAATTCACAAGAAGTGTACAAACATTTTCATTTAAATAACAGCATTGCTCAAACCATTTGCCTATCAATTGAGCTTCAGCCGTAATTTCACATCACAATTTACTCACTCTCTGAACCCCTTTTTATTCCAAAGGGGGTTAATATGGTCAGTAGTGGTGTACAGATCTGTTGAAGTTGAAGGAAGTGGAAGTGTTGCAATTTATGCAATATTTGGTTCACAGCTTTGATTTTTTTTTACCCTCAGAAATTAATTTGAAACCAAATCTCAATTTTAACATATTTTTGTAGGTTATGTAACTGATTGAAGACTAAAAAACATATCTTAAAGTAGAAAATCTTATATTTTTTATAATTTCGTATTTTCATTAAAGGAAAATTGAGATTTTAGGACACAATGCTAAAGTGAAAGCTAACCTCAATTTTTTTTTACTAAACTGCATCGGTTTTGATTGAAAAAAAATTGAAATTTAAAAAAATACGGAAAAATGCAATTTTACGGAAGAAAATCATAAAATATTGTGTGAAAACGTGAATTTTAAAGTTGTTTGTTGATTTTTAGTGTATTTTTATTTCGTTTTTGGATAGATTTTAGTCAGATTATAGTTAGATTTCAATTTTAGTCTTTTTATAAGCAATTCAAGTGTTAAGGATTCCCCATGCAAATTGTGCAAGTGTCAGAAAGTTGTGTACAGCTTTCAAACATATTATCTTCCCCTTGGGCAATTTATAATTAAGGGGTGAGCATTGGTTAAAGTGGCTTCCGTCATATTTTAAATCTAGTTTCTATCTGGCTCTGCTAGAAAAACATGCACATAAATGAATAATCTATTTGATGGGGACGCCTGGTGAAAGCTCTCATAGTAATTTTCGCTTTATTTGCGCATTTTTTTTTCCTCCCCTGTAAATTGTTGCAAACAATGAAAGAGGAAGTCGCAGCACAAATGGGCGGAAAAGAGGTGAAATAGCCAATTTGGCGGGAAAAAAAGTGGCGATTAGCCCAGTGTGTTTGCTGGTAAAATAAAATGTTACACAGTTTCCAGCGAAGATCAGCCTCGGTGTCCCAAATTTCACTCTCTCGCTCTGCATAAATCATGTGGGGTATTTTATTTTCGGCCCTAATCTGCCATATCTTGTGCATTTTGGCGGTAAATAAACGCGCTTTTCATGTGGTGGCTTTCGTGTTTTATTGTCTGCCGCGTGGCGAACGGAAGGTGTGGAGGGGGTTATGCCGGAAAAATGACGAATGAAAATCGATAGGAGTGCCTTCCACGGTGCCTCGCGGTGCAAAGGTGGCGCGGAAGAGCGGAGCAAAATTAATAAATATTTCATCGATTTTTAATGTCTTCGCCCTCCTCATATCTTTTGCATGTATATCGGCACTGTTATGCTCGTCCTCCTCCATTTTCCCGCCCATATCTTTGTCCCCGGGAACATGATGTGTTGTGCCTGGAGAGTTCCACTTTTGTTTTCCCATCCATTCGCTGTGCGAAGCGCAACAGTTTGCGAACCACTCAAACACTCCTGGATGTGAAAGCGTATAGAAAAATCTGTTTGCTCTCAAGATCAAAGGGGATATTGATACAATAGACACTTAGTTGAGCTTCTTGATCAACACTGCGATGATTGGCAGTAAAAAAGCCAAAGTGTGCACTCGATGCAATTGGCCGGAGCTCCTCTCGCACGTTAATCCATGATGTTGAATGTGAAAGCGCACTTGATCAGGATATCGGCAGTCATTTTCTGCAAGAGAACATGCAGAATTGCTAATTAATACTGCCATTTTGGCCCAGTTGTGGCAAGTTTAAAGCCATCAATTATATGGAAATGCATAATCTCTGCTCTATCCATCACCATTTATGCTATCTTGCTGCATTTAAAGCATATTCTCTATTTGAGAAAAATATTGTTCCAAACTTTAATGAGGACAGGCTTTCTCATATTTCCACTCAAAACTTTTCCCATTCAGGGTTATTCTTTTTTTTGGTGTAATTAAAATGAAGAGTGGGAAAGGGACAAAGGGAGAGCCGCTAGTGAAATCAGACCAATAACTTTATGAATATACAGTATTTTAAAATATATTTTCTGAATATTCAATCAAAATTTTCATATATTTAAATATTGAATATTTTTGCCGCATATTGCCGCCAGAGGCCAGCAGTTGTAATATCCTTTATTTTATTTCACATTTTTTTTGCCCATTAATATACTCAAAATTGAAATAGAATCAAAAGGTAATTTTTAATTTGAATTATAATGCAATCATTTAAATGCATTTGCTTGAAAAATGTCATTTTATGGGGTTTATAAGGGGAAATTCCTTATTGACAGGCATTTAATTTAGCCATAGAGACAAAATTGCAACTTAATTGCCTTTAAAGTTTAAACTGCTGCTCTCTGACGGAAATATGTGGCAAAAATATTAAATATTTTGCACTTTTCTTTTCAATCTGCTAGCGTCTTTCCCCTTGAATATTCATTCCTATATTAATTCATTGCCAGATTATGTCTGCGTAGTTATATTTGAATCATGAACTATAGCATGGATTGCAATAATTAGATTCTGAAGCAATTTATTGGCAAATGCGACTTGAATAATAAGCAAACATACCTGAACACCTAACACTGGACATGTCCACGTTGACTGAGTAGAAGATTGGCGGGCAAGTGAAGACGTCAATGCCACAGGGTCTGGTGAGATTGAACCACACCGTGTCCATGCCTCTGAGACTCTGACACTGGTCAGGAGCGGTCGAGGCGCTTCGGGAAACGCACACCGTCAGCCCGCCGTAATCCACGCCCAGGAACTGAACGTTCACCGACTCGGAGTAGCGGAAGTAGAAGGGGCTGATGCGGTAGATGATCTCGTGATAGGGTCCCACGTAGTCCTCGAAGCGATACCGGCTGATCTCGAAGTACTCGTGCGAGGGAACTGTGCTGTTCGCGTCTGACATTAGACAGTTGGCGGCCACCATTCGCTTGGGGATCTTCCGGAACTCCTTCACCAGGCGCTCGCTGAAGTCCGATGGGGTGGCGTTGTTGGATCTGATGATTGTGTAGTGCTCGGGATAGATGAGATTTGTGAATCTCTCGATGGCTCCGGTGGTGTGAGTCACATTGTGTCGAATAAGACTCTCAAAGGTCTCTGGATGTGATGTGACGAAGATGAAATAGAGATCAGGGAATCTCTGCAGTGAGCCCTGGAGGATTCTCCGGGCGCTGTGGAAGTCATTGACTGTGATTCTCTGGGACTGAGAGAAAATCAGAGCCACTTGAGAGCGCGCCACGTGAACTCCTTGGCGAATTTCCTCGTCCGTCTGCTCTGATAGGAGCGTCAGGAGTCTCTGGAGTGACAGCGACAGAGACAATCCCTGAGGAAAGGGATCGGTGAAGTTCCTCAATTGCTCAAAAGTATTGCTGATGCTGTTTGATCGATTTGCCATGACAACTCCGCTTCCTCCGTGAATCACCGTCATTCGCGATCCAAATGTCGACACTTCTGAGATCTCTGTCAAGTAATTCACCAGCTGTAGGTTTTCGTACTGCCTCCGTGTGCCATCCAGAATCACAAAGAGGTCCATGGAGGGTTTCCTCGCGTCAGACGCTATCTGATTGCAGTGTGGCAGATTGTCCAGAATCAGTGGGGTTTCGGAGAAAAATCTATCCACTGCCGCATTGCAGCTACGCCTGAGTCGCTCGTCCGTGACTCCCAAACTGCTTGTGGTGTACTGAAGAATCTGGGCGAAGGCGAAAGTCTCCTCTTTCAGCTTTTCCCCGCTAATCTGCTCGACAATTGCTCTTCTGTCGCAAGCATTTGTTATGTCAGGATTTATCGGCAGCGGCTCAGGCACATCCTCAGCCCATTCTCTGGGATCGTCGAAGATTGCCCTGAGAATGCTGCTGCCGGTGGACGCAAAGGGTCTCTCATTGCCAGTGCCTTCCTCTCCTGTTCGATTGAGTCCCTTCGTTCTGCCGCCAGTGCTTTCAATGGTCAAACTGGGAATTCCCCTTGGACTGTAGTACATGTCCAACAGTTGCGATAAGCGAATCCTCCTCACTCGATCGACCCACGAAGTGACTTCTTGCGAAATGAACATCGCATCAATTCCCGTAATCAACTCAGCTTGAGTCATCTCCCAACGCCCAGCATGGCCCTCAACCATGAACTTCTGCCGGGGAAAGAACGTGTCATTCCAATTGCCCGGAACGCCCACCGCCACATTAGTGCCCACGAATGGTCCCTGATACACGCAAACCTCCGCCAAATCTCCCGCCAGTCCCGCCGCGAAGGCATTGTCCACGGAGTCCAGCGACTGGAGGAGCTTTCCGACCTTCTCAGAAACATTGATCTCATCCATAGTCTCCAGATTTTCGAACATTCGCTCCTTGGCGGTCTTCTGAGCCGCCACAAATTCACTAATCCGCACATTCTGCGGCTGCAAACCCGCCGCCACGGCCGCAATAAAGACTCCCGGCGACAGAGTTCCGTAGTTCCGCGTTTGAGCCACTCCAGCTTCCAAAGGACATCGCGACACGGGCCGCGAGAATTGAATTCGTGCTCCTGATGTTGCATTTTGAGCCCTATAAAGTGTGTGGAAAATGGTGTATTGTTAGATCATTTCCTCTGAAATTGTCCAATAAAGGAAAACTGCCCTATAACATCGCGGCAACCTCTTTCTTTATTTCAATGAAAATACCATTAAGGAAATTTCAAGCACTCTCGCAGAATTGTTTCTGCTCGAGAAGTGCAATAAATACTCCGAGAGCTGAAGCTGTCTCGAAATCACAATAAAAGAGTCATATTCTGCAATACATCATCGCGAAATATCGTGAAATCAATTCACTTTTATTATTGTATAAATCAAAATTGCACTGGTAAAAGGGAAATTCGCATGATGAATGCGGGCGAATACATATGGAAAATTATTATGCTCTGCGAGTGAGCTTTATCAGGAGCTTTATTGACCGATTTCGACCGTGAATCAGAAATTCCCTTATCAGCTGAGATAAAAATTCCATACTAAACGCGATGGAATGTTTCCCTATACGAAATTTGGGCTGTTGTGAAACTCACTTGTTTCTGGTGATCCAGGGAGCTCGAATCCTGTCTTGAGGAGTCGCCAAGTTGAGTGGACACGTGCGTGACTCATCGCCGCGCTCAAATGGCTCCACGGAGGAGCTGATGAGCCGATGGAGGGCGCAGAGGTCAAACTGAGAGAGGATTTGCCGGATCTCAGACTCTCCCGGAGGCGGAGAAATCAACTGTCGCAGAATCCTCATCTTCGGCGCCATGATTCCTGTCACTCCGAACGGCGTGATGAAGTCAGTCTCGCGCACGCCGGGCGCCTTTTCTATCCCATCGAAGCGCAGCTGATGGAAGATCTGAACGCTGAGCGTGCGTGCGTCCAGAGACGTCGGCCTGGCGTCCTCAATCTTCCTCACCAACTCAATGAGGAGCGGCAGGGAGTTGGGCAGCCAGGGCTGCGTCTCGTTTCCGCGGTAGCACGCCAAGAGATAGTCGGGAATGGCTTGCGTATTCGCCAGCGCTGCTCAGAAATAGGGTCACAGATTAATATTAATTATCTTATCATCACTTTCCACATTCGTGACGTCACGACTCACCGAGAACAGCCAAGAAAACTACTAAATGTCGCACTATCATATTTTTTCACGCTCTCTTCGGCCACTCAATCGAATGTCTTCACACTTTCTGGGCCAATTTCTTCATTGCCGCCCGCAAAACACTTCCGAGTAGCGCTCGATTCACACCCAAACTGATACTAACAGGTGAATTCGCACCGGAGTCTCTATTGTGCGTTCATCGTGGCGTCTTATCGCCCCGAGAGATAAACGCTCGCGATAGGAAAGACTTCAGTGTGCATAAATCACTGAGAGAAAACCATTGCGAGAAGACACTCTGTATGCCATGCAAGGGAGATTTAACACCTCTATTCGGGAATCCATCCAATTTAGAGATTCCTGATAAGTTCCAAATTCTCGGCGCCCGCCTCGTTAGACCTTCCTCAACAGCGGATGGTAATAAAATTGATTTTCTGACTCCTCGCACAATTTCTCCAGCGAATTATGATGTTCGTGGGGAAATTGAGGGTGAATCATTTTGTTTCTGGCAACGAAAATGCACGCTGTATACATAGCATCAAAACGAGAAAGTGCACACTAAATTCTCTGTCACTTGCAAACGCAGGTAAATTTTACAAATCACTGCAGAATGGCTGCATTTTCACGAAGAAAAACACTCCAGTTTTATTGCAAATCGAAGTAGAACAACTTTAAAAATAGATGTATTTTGCTGATTGAGTATAAGTTTCGTGGAAACTCTTTTCTTCCATTTTTTTTCTACCCAGAGAGTTCACTCCCTCAAAGGAGCAATGCATCAAGCTCACTTTCTTTGAGACGTGCCCCAAAGTAAAATGTGTTTGTTTTCTATTTTGTGTGGAAAACATTCATCACATTCCAAGAAGTCAAATGTCAGTGGGATTTTACTCAATTGTTACCTCTTGAGTAACCCTATAATTTTCTGCCTTCACCATGGATTTTCCTTGAAATGCAAAGCCGATTTGCCGCATCGGATATTCCTTCATTCAAATGCAGGGCTCTTAAAAATAAGAGCTGGCAGAAATTGTGTCTCTGCTAGAGCTTCTGCCGAGCATTTTCTGTTATACAGGTCAAACAGTGGAGACGCCGGGTTGGCGATGGGTGTTCCATGAATGGAAGAGAGACTCTTTGTGGAAATTCTCTGGAAATTTCATCTTAATATTCATCAAGGGGGGATTTTCAGCAATTTCCCAAGAACCCCATCCTGATTCATCCTGCAGGAAATTCCCTGGAAAAACACCACCAATATTCATGGTAAAATAGCATGTGAAAAGTGCGCCTCAAATTCCCCGTGATTGTTCGTTGGGAAAAGGGCCACTTCACGCTCCCCATCCACCGAAATAGTGAAAAATAATAACAAAATCGAGCTTTAGAGAGAGAAAATGATTCAATTCGGCGCATGCCTTCTGAAATGGGTCATGCAATGCGGGCAAACGTCACAACAATTTGAATTTTTCGTGACTCGCGGAGAAAGCTCCCATGTTCACCATGTGGCGGGTCTTTTGGAGAGTTGGTAAATGGCTGGAAAATTGCGCCTCGAAACGGCGGAAATGCGATTTTCTTACGCATCGCCCGTTAATCATGTCGCCTCTCCGCCTGAGCAAAGCTTCCACGGAAAGGCGCACAAATAGTGGAGAGCTTTGGCTGGAAAAACTCACGTTACATATCGTTCTTTATTGTTAGAAAATGTAACTACATGGCACACCAAGGTCGTCCGCCTCTATTATGCCACCCATTCTCAACTGACAAACATTTTTCAACTTATGTTTGACTCTTTTTTTTCTCTCTCTCCCTTCCCACGAAGGAAGGATTCACTCTTTGTCTATTTATAGGCAATCGCCTCTGACGTGTCACGAGGTCTGCGCGTCCCTCTTTTTTGGGGGTCTTCCATCCACACTTCGCCATATCCTCGCGACTGGCAATGCGGATAAATTGATATTTGCCCGAAATGACGCTGGGCAAAAAACGCCAACTCTAACGTCACCTTTGAGTGTGCTTTACAATCATAAAACCTCCACCCATTCGCCTGCTTTTTCGCCAACGACACGCTTTGGCCCGCAGAAAAACGCTGCACTTCAGACAGAGTGCTTTCACGTATTGATGGCGGAGCTTTCTGCAGGAAACTAATCAAATACTGCACAGAGAGCATTTTGTCAGCAGTGTTTCAGGTGCGAAAATAGCAGGGAAATACTTGGAAACAAGCTTATCATGAATCAAACGAGCAATTTCAGGTTGTAAAAGGACTGGTGAATTAGAAAACTATGAAAAGTCGAAATAAAGTTTGCCGAATTTACCTCAAAACACCTTCTAATCGTCCATTAAAGTGCTTATATTGCACTGTAATAATTATTTTGTGAATGTTCAATTTGATTTTATTGGTATTTATGGGAGCTTTTGAATTGAAATATGGCTAAATTAATGAATAAAATGAAAAAATTACTTTCCAAAGACGATTTGTAATGTTTTTCAAGTATATTTTATCCGAAAGAGTCGAGAAAGAGTTCAAAAAATCAAGTTTATATTCTTTAAATGTAGTATTTTAAATTTTAAATCTAAGAATATATTAAGAAAATCCTATAAATTCGTATCGTGAGCATAAATTTTCCTTCAAAAATTAAATTTTACTGTTTATTTGTAATATAAACATTCTTTATTTTTCATTTTGTGTTGAGAAAATTGAACAATATCAGTATGAAATGCAATAAGCAATTTATGAAATGAATCCAAAGTATTTTCCTGACGCACACTTTTCAATAGATTCGCCTTCAGCTGAAGAGGTGAAAAATTCAAGCAATTCAAGGTATAGAAAATAGAAATATCGATCTTCTGTAACAATAATCACGTATTTTCATCGCCATTCGAGAAGAAATCTCTCTTTCTTTTTCCTGTTTTTCAACAAAATAAAACAATTCGCGGATGTTCTTTAAACAAATCGCCGTGTTTATTGGCTTTTCTGAGTGAGTTTTTTTTTCCCTCACGTCGCGTTCTTTGAAATGTGCTTCTTGACTTCAAGAAGAGAGTCTTCTTGACTGATTCTTTCAGAGAAAACACCTCATATATCAATCATTTCGTCGAAGAGGTGCAATTTTTTTGGGTTGAAATTTCTCTCTCTCTCTCTCTTTTTTCTTCTACTTAAAGCAAAGTTCCGCCCACGCGGCAATTTTCTTAATTGAGAAAGTCATATTTCAGACAGAATTTCTCGCGTCTTTCGCGAGCATCATGAGGGAAATTTTACAGCGACAGAATATTTGACAATTGGGGAAACATTTCAATTTCCTGTTCCTGGCTCCATTTGGTGGGAGCGCGAGGGGCTCTGGGGTGGGTTTGGGAAGAGCATTTTCCTCTCCTGAGCTTTCTTGCGCCGTCCCTCTCGCACACACTGAGCTCCCCGAGCCACCCCAGGTGGAGGGATGGAAGAGGGAGACTCGAGGCTCGTGAATGCACCTCTCGAGAGCGCCATCAAGGATGTCAATTGAATTGAGAAGTGGATTTTTTGCCTCAGCACGGCACACAAGAGTGTCGTTGATATAAGAGAAAAATTATTTGCTTGCAATTCGAAGAAGTTTTCTCCTTCTTGCCTCTCTCTCTCTCTCTCTCTCTCCGGAGAGAAAATACACAAACATCATTTAACACCTCGCTCACACAACATGAATTTTCCGAGTTGCGCAGAGAAAAGTGCCAAAAATTATATGGTTATTCATGGTGAATGAACTTGTGGGATTTCCACAAGTAATATCATGGGAAATTCTGGGAAAATTCCATGAGAAAAGCACTCCCTAGAATGCCCTGAAAAGTCCCTTTTTTCGCCAGACAACCCAGAAATGCCCATGAGATCGCGAGGAGACCTTGTGACAGAACAGCGGAAAGCATGTGAAAACTGAGCCTGAATGTGCGTTTGACGAGCACTGATGGTTGTTTATTGAAATATTTGCATTGTTTCGGTATCAAATTGGTTGTTGATTAGGATGAGCTAAATATACATCGTACGACCTCCCATACGGAAATAGACGCCAAATTTGAAGAGCTTTTTATACGCCTTTTCCTCGTGAATATCAAATGAAAATTTTTCCAACGTGCGTTATTTCTGGTCTTCATCCCACACGTGACAATGTGTGTGTCTCAGCATTGATCATTGGAAAATTAATTCACACCCATAAATCTCATCTTGTACGAATTTCTACTATGAACTCCCCCAAAGTGTCGCAAGGAATTTTGAGAATTTCGAAAAGACTCTGTGTGTAAAGTGGGAAGTTTGAGAAGTGCAGACTGAAATTTATGCTGAAAAGTGTATGACGTGCCAGTTGGAGAAGCGCTTTTGTAAATAGCGCATGCGATCCACAGTCCAAATGGCCTCTCTGTTCGGTGAAAACTTCTTTGGGGAAAACTAAACCAGTATTTGTTAGCACACATACGGTTTAATCTATTGTCTATGGCCGTGAAGGAGGAAAACGCAATTCCTGTGAGCCTTGCCAGTGATCGCGGGCTAGAGGGTGTGATGTGACTCTGAGTGTGGCTGGCCAGTGAGAGCACACACATTTTGGGGCTTGGAAAACGGCCCCCGAAGTGAAGAGAGGCGGAGAGGAGATGAAAAAAGACGTGAAAACTCGTGCACGGGAATCTTGCCAAGTGGAGATTAATTTGTGAAATTGTTGAATTTCTCGCCGTTCGCACGAGGATTTCTGTGTTGTGTGACAGAGAGACAATTCGCGAGCCTGCAGACGATTCCCAGGAAGAAAAGAAAAACCCCTTCGCCGTGCGTGAGGAGCTTGGATGTGGGGGTGAAAAGTGACCTCCCCGGGGAGGTGGTTGGCAGGCAAGAAACTCATCGAGCTTGTGGTGATTAAGACACTTCTGCAGTGCTGTAGGTTGGCCCGCAAGTCCCCCACCTTCTGGGGCACAGGAGAGATCATCTTCCCGCACTTCTCACTCAAGACGCAAAGGGCAGAAGAAAAAGCTCTCTCGGTGCGCCCGTGAAAAACTCCCACCCTCCGTGGGGCTGGCGTGGTATTTTTGCAGTGCGATCCTCGAGATAGCTGGCGAGGATGGGGCGCGGGGGGGTGTGAGAATTAATTGTGTAACAATTATCGACCCAAGTGGAGACCTTTTCAGCCCACCTAACGTCCCCATCATCCCTGAGAGGCGCGCTAACAGGGC